TTGTGGGGAGGGTGTGCGTGCGTGCGTGCGTGTGGGGAGAGTGTGGTGCGTGTGTGTTTGTGGGGAGGGTGTGCGTGCGTGCGTGCGTGTTTTCTGACAGCGCGAGATAGCGCTAATAATGCAGTTGCGAATACGCCATAGATTACGTCAACATGTTCTGCTTGCATCTATGACAAATACGACATACGCATATACGCTCTCCTATGACACTATTTGTCATAGGAAGATTCTTCCTATGACAAATATTGGCGAGTCAACTTCGTTCCGTTTTACAGCTGAAATTCACTGCTTGCGTTCATAATAGCGCCTCCTAAACTCCTATGATGCGCACAACACATACAACAATATTTGTCATAGGAAGAATCTTCCCATGACAAAAAGTGTCATAGGAGAGCGTATATATGCGTATGTCGTATTTGTCATAGATCCTAGCAGAACAGGCTGATTACGTTGCATCACGTTTATGAATTTATATAGCATAATAAAAACCGGTGTTGGTTTTACTATAAGGGCAATGAATGTCTCGGGTCGTCAAAGTATGTGTCAGATCTAACAAGATGTATATGAGCTAGACTGAGCGCTTTATGTCAGCTGGTTGCGCGCATGAGGGTCTGACTGCACTTACAAAGTAGCAGTATTAAATATTGCGAGAGCTTACCAGCGACGTATACCTAGCACAGATATTCGTATCAAGCGAATTTTAAGTGTTATAGTGAGTACATTGACTAGATATTGGAGAGAGAGAGAGAGAGAGAGAGAGAGAGAGAGAGAGAGAGAGAGAGAGAGAGAGAGAGAGAGAGAGAGAGAGGCGAGAGAGAGAAGAGAGAGAGAGAGAAAGAGAGAGAAAGAGAGAAAGAAAGAGAGAGAACGTGTGTGAAAAAGGGAGAGAGAGAGAGAGAGAGAGAGAGGAAGAGAGAGAGAGAGAAGAGCGCGCGCGCGCGCGCGCGAGAGAGAGGAGAGAGAGAGAGAGAGAGAGAGAGAGAGAGAGAGAATCAAAGAGAGAGAGAAATGGAGTGGAGTTAGACTCTGTTCTGATAGTTAGTTAACAGCAGGTTTGTTTTGAGGAAATTCCCTGAAGTGTAGTCGAACGCAGAGTGATTGAATCGTATGGATGAAAGCCTGTTAAAAAAAAACATTGTTAGAAATACTATTTGATATAATGTTGTCGGCAAAAAGATATTCGTTCGTGTCTCTGTAAGTTTCAGTTTCTGAAGCGCGTGCGACGTACACGTCATAAAAACTAGCTTACTATTGCAAGCCCCCTGTAGAGAGAAATGTGAGTATTTTCGTGATCAGGCACTTTCGCGCGAAGCAATGATTCCTGGAGTGAATCTGAACAAAACCTCGAGTATCCTTGACCAGGGGAGGGGGGAGGTCCTATAAGTGCTAAAACTTAATGCCACGACCACACATCATACTACTTTAGCAAACCGTAATTACTCTAGGCAAGTACTCAGATGAAACTCTGTGACGCAAGCAAGTAGACACAGAACGCATGTCGTTCGAATACACCCACGACGAAAAAATTCAAACGCTGCCTTTTTTAATACATTAATTGTGACTCGCTGTTAGTAGGGGTCTAATAAAAGGCATTGATGTTGACGTTTCTGGGTGTGTGTGTGTGTGTGTGTGTGTGCGTGCGTGCGTGCGTGCGTGCGTGCGTGCGTGCGTGCGTGCGGGTGCTGTGCGTGTGTGTGTGTGTGTGTGTGTGTTGTGTGTGTGTGTGTGTGTGTGTGTGTGTGCATGCATGTATGTTTTTTATGATTGGCGTCAGTCGCTAGAGAGTGCTGCTCCAGAAAATGTTCTGCGGTGCCTAAAATTAGTCGTAAAAAGCGTTCGTACGTGCAACGAATATGGACCGAGGATCGAAGAATAAACTGCCTCTCGTATGTGATTGGCCATCGTTCATATCGGTTTTCATAGTGGATGAGCACGCCAGTCAGGCGCCTAACGACTCATTAGTTATTAATAAGACATTAGTTGGTTAGATATTTGGTCACGACCCGATAATCGAGAGTCATTTATTTTTTTATTATCGTGATTCTATTTCGAAATGCTGGAAGAAAACCTCATTTCATTAAACGTTATCGTAATCCGATATATTTGGCAGACATTATTTCGTTAGTGTTGTCTCATTCGGTACAGTTTTAAAGAGCGGGTAGAGAGATATCTCGAGGCTATATTGAGTGTATACATTTTGTCGTTCATTCACGGGTGTTCGGTGAGTGTATATACCCGAAGCGATTGTCTTCCTTCACAAGGCCGACCAGTCTGCCTCTCTCTCTGTCTCTCTCTCTCTCTCTCTCTCTTCTCTCTCTCTCTCTCTCTGCGCTGCCTGTCCCGCTTGCAAGAAGGTGACGTTTATCCAAAACAAGTTTCCACCTCCCTTCCACCTCCCCGCTCCTCCTCCACCTCCCCCTCCCACATCGTCCTTGGATCAGGAATGCTTCGCGCAAGGATAATCATGTTCAGGGCACATTCATTAGTCTCTCCCGTCACGAGATTCGTCGCCCGCATTGTTTGTGTCGCATCGCATTCATGCTGACGATGATGTTACTGACGATGATGTTGCTGTCGCCGCGCGCTGTCTCCGGGACCGCAGCAAATCGAATACCTGGCTACGACGCGGCACACCTTGGCCGAGCACCGTGATGGAATGGAGGGAGGGATGCTGACACCGCTTCTAATCATTCCCCAGCGCTTTGGCGGGCGAGGAATTGGTTATTGCATCGCACGCACGCACGCACGCACGCATGCACGCAGCGCACGGACGAACGGACGGACGCACGCACGCACGAACGGACGCACGCACGCACGCACGGACGGACGGACGACGCACGGACTCACACACGCACGCACGCACGCACGCACGGACGGACGAACGGACGCACGGACTCACACACGCACGCACGCACGCACGCCACGCACGACGCACGCACGCACGCACGGACAAACGCACGGACTCACGCGCACGCGTAAACACGCACACACATATGCATAAGCACTCATACACACACAACACACACACACACACACACACAACACACACACACACACACAACACACACACCACACACACACGCGCGCGCCGCGCGCGCGGCATACACACACATATATATTAGGGTTACGTCAGCTAAAAATAATTTGGTGAGCCATAGCACCTATACTTGTTAGGGGTAGGCACGCCTTGATTATGAAAGTGACTGGTGCTCCGTGGTGAATGGGTTTTACTCTCAATACTAAAAGAACAATTTCAGCAAAATGTTATGTCATTTATTTGATAAACCCTCGACAACAGAATATAAACGCTGGGTGTATCCACTGATCTATATCCATATAATAGTTATGCAGAGATCAGTGTGTGTATCATGTATAGGACACATATCGCCCTCTATTGGTCGTTTTAAATTTTCATTAGCGTTGTGCCCATACCTCAGCCAAGTAAACTGTGCACTCTCTCTCTCTGATCAATAAAGCGACGAGTAGAATTGTATTTTTCATTTCAAGTTACTGCGACGATAATTTGGTCGCCATTTTATAATTATAATTTCCACACAATATCATTTTATATGGCAGTAACTAGAAGTTTGCGCACCGCACAAACACAGGTGTCCCGCTGTGCTACAGATAATTTTCCTAGGCGAATTGTGTCTATTAAAATACCTGGTGTGCGTGCCTACTCTAAATTAAAATTGTAATTTCAACAATATTGACTGGTGGGTGTGTCCCTCTATATTAAAAGTACATTTTCAACAAAATTGTTATTTCTTCATTTTAAAAGACTGGAAACATAACCACGCAGGTAATGTAGACCACATCGCCACCTATCGGAGGATTAAAATATTATTAGTGGTAAGTGAGCTGGGACACCCTATCCCGCCCGCAATTTTTTTTTCCCACTTGAGTTCCGGACAGCCAATCAGCGCACTCGATTCACTCGACTTCCTCGAAGCAACAATGTAAAGTGAATACCTCCTATACCTAACCCTAACACTAACCCTAACTCTAACCCTAACACGTAACCGAACACTACCACTAACTACAATCCAACCATATATGTAAGAACCATTTATTACAAAACACTATCTATGGTGGGTCCGGAACTCAAGTGGGAAAAGCTAATCTCTCCCTACATCTTCCCACGCTCTCTCCCCCCTCTCTCTCTCACACCCTCTCCTTCCCTCTCACTATTCCCCCCCCCCGCTTCCTCTCCCTTCGCGCTCTCCCTTCGCGCTCTACCTTCTCCGTATTTGTCGGTGAACTGGAACGCTTGCACTAGGCGGAGTGTTTCGTCTACGGAGCGACCGACGGGCAGGTCGTTAATCGTCATCTGACGGAGCTTCTGCTGAGCATCGATGATAAAAAGCGCTCTACGGAGGCAAGGCACAAACACAGACATACGTATGATACTATATATATATATACCCCTATATATATATATATAGACAAATATACGTATATACTAGAGATATATATATATAATTATAATATAATATATAGATATGAGTATATATATTATATAGAGGTCATATATAGACATAGTATATACGGTACTATATATGGTCTAGTAGTAACTTATATTCATATGGTATTTCATATTATATATTAATTATATACTATATTATATATATATATATATATGTTCTATATATTATATATACATTATATATAGGCTATCATATAGTATATTATAGTATAGAAGTACACACACACGTACGCAACGCATTTGTAGGATATGAAAATAAATAGTAGCAAGAATATGTAGGTGTGCTAAATCTTAACTGAGAAAGCTTCGCATGAATAGCTCTCTTCATCAGACTATAAATAGAATTATAGCTTAAAAGAATTACGTAGTCCTCGATGAGAGAGTAATTCTTCGAAAGGCTTTCGTCATTACAAATGTTAAGACGCCTCATTATCTTTTTCGACATTTATTGTGTGTGGCAGCGGAGAGTGTGTGTGTGTGTGTGTGCCGTGCCGTGCGTGTGCGCGCGTGGGCGGTGCGTTTGTGTTGGCGTGGTGTGTGTGTGTGTGTGTGTGCGTGCGTGCTGGTTGCGTGCCGTGCGTGCGTGCGTGCGGTGATATGTGTGGGTTGTGTGCTGCGGTTGGTTGTGTGTGTGGTGCGTCGGCGCGCGTGCGTAGCGTTCTGTGGCTGTGGGGCGCGCTTGTGTGTTGTATGTGTTCGCGCGTCGCGGTGGATCCGCGTCATGGTCGCGCGCTGTGTCGTGATTGGTGTGGTTGCGTGTGTTTGTTATGTGCTGTGTGTGTGTTGCGTTGTTTTGTGTGTGTGTGTGGTGTGTGTGTAGTGTGTGTATGTATTCAGGTATGTGTGTGTGGTCTGTGTGTGTGTGTGTGTTGCCGTGGTGTACGAGAGCTTGTCGCGTTGCGGGGTCGGGTGGTGCGTGCGTTGTGGTGTGTTGCTGTGCTATGTGGTTGTGTGTGGTGTGTGTGCGTGGGGGCGCGGTGATGGCTGAGTTGTGTGTGTAGTGCGTGCGTGAGCCTGCGTGCGTGGGTATGGGTGTGTGTGTGTGACAGCGCTTGTGTGCGTGAACGTGCGTAGGCAGTGCGCAGGCTGCGCGTGTGTGTGTAATATATAAATTATAGTAGAATGTGTGCTGGGGTGTGGCGGACAGGAGCTGTTGTGGTAGTGTGTTGTGTCGTGCGCGACAGCGTGTATTGTGTGATGATGTGTGTAGGTGTAGAAAACTAATACTGTGTGCTTCGCGCTGCACGCTGCAGTGTGTGTGTGTGATGTGTGTGTGGCGCGTGAGACTGTGTGTGTGTGAACGATGTAGATGTGATGTGGATGTAGCGGTGTGCGGGCTATCTGATGGTAGCTGATGCGGTGTGGATGATGTGTCGGTGGTGTCGTCGCGTGACGTGCGTGCGTGCTATGTGTGTGTGTGTGCGTGCCGTGCGTGACGTGACGTAGGTGGCTAGTATAGCCACGCGCGCAAGCGGCGGCTGTGAGTGCTAACTTATATATATAATAATTGTGTAGTGTGTGCGCTGTGTGAGTGTGATGTGTGTGCTGTGTGTGTGTGTGGTGATGTGTGTGTGTGTGTGTGTGTGTGTGTGTCTATAATTATTGCTATCAAACTTGCCTGAATGCGACGCCCTCGGATTCGAGCAGCACGCCGTAGTCTCTACTGATCTTCATCGTCTTGTCGGCCATGATAGAAGTGTCGTTGAGCTGCCTAGTCCGCCACTAGTTCCTCGGAGTATTTATCCTGACAGAGAAGAGGAGGATAAATAGGAGGACAGGATAAATAGGAAGACAGGAGTTGTTGACGCTCGTAGACTGCTAACACACGACCCCACACACAGCACAACACAGCACACACACACACACACACACACACACACACACACACACACCACCACACACACACACACACAACTGCCGCGCGCGCGCGCGCGCGCCGACCGCACGCACGCCAGCACGCACGCACGACACACACACACTCACACACAACCGCCGCGCGCGCAGCACGCACGCACGCACACACACACACGACACACACACACACACAGCACACCACACGCAGCACACATCACTGCGCGCGCACGCACGCACGCACACGACGCACGCACGCCACAACACCACACGCACGCACACCACACACAAAACACACCACACACACCACGGCCGCGCGCCGCGCGCGCGCGCACGCACACGCACGCACACACACACACACACAGACACACACACACACACACAATTCGCCTACCAGGCCAAGTGTGAGAATTCGCTGTCGGTCGAGCAGGCGACGACCTCACAGTCGATCTTACGGAACTCGTCGGCACGGTCACCAAATGCAATTATCTCTGTCGGACATACGAACGTGCTGAAAAACACAGACATGTATGTATGTGCTGAAAAAAAACACGTATATGTATGCGGAGGAGTGTTTGTGTGTGTGTGTGTGTATGTGTGTGTGTGTGTGTGCGTGCGTGCGTGCATGCGTGTGTGCGTGTGTGTGTGTGTGTGCGCGCGTGCGTGTGTGCGTGTGTGTACGTGTGTGTGCGTCTATATGAGCGCGCATGTGCGTGTTTGTAGTTATTACAGATCAGGAGGAAATTCCCAAATTTCCACACAATTTCCGTCTTCCCTAGAAACCAATCACCAATATTCAAAGCGATGCATGTACACACCACCGCCCTGTTCGTTCACAAATTGTACATTTGCACAATTGCGTCATCGTACATTTAACCGCGAAAAATCGCGCTTGATCCTACACTTCACAGACTAAATCAGCTTCGTCGCTATTAACACTGATAAAAAAATTCCCCGGGGAAATCAAGAACGTAATGCATGAAACGTGAGATGAAAGTGCGGTCGATATTTCTGATATGCGAAACTGTCTTCATCAAGGCCCATGAATGCGCATGCGCAGTATTCGACCGTCTTGAAGCCCCTACAGCAGGGTAGGGCCTAATATAATAAGGGAATCCACATATCTACCGATATTAAAACGTCATGCGTGTACTTACAAGTCGAGCGGATAGAAAAATAGGACGAGATATTTCCCCTTGTAGTCCGACAACTGAATTTCCTTGAAGCGGCCATTGACTACAGCCTGGGCGCGAAAATCAGGTGCCGGTTCCGTTATCTTCGCCTTAGATGCATGCTGAATGACAGGCTGTAAACAGTGGAATTAATAAAGACATATAACCATACAGATATACTCTAAAATACCCTCACATCCCACATATATCTTTACTATGGTGATGCATCAAACGTGTTGTAAAATGGTTAGAGAAGTTACATTCATGCACGCACTGACGCACTCACCCACTCACGCTCGCACTTATGCACACACTCTCACATCCGCCCATCTATCCATCCATACATCCATCCATCCATGCACCTAACCACCTATCTTCCCATCTATCGATCCGTCCATCAAACCATTCCTTTATATAATTTATTCCTCAACCACCTGCTAGTGACAAACACCTTAAGCTATTGCTAGACTACCCAGCTAGCATAAATGTAGTTATAAATGCTCCAGACATATCGGCATTACGCTACAACGCGAAGAAAACCTGTAAAAATATGACCGTCGGGACAATGCCATCTTGATTTCGAGCCACATCGCGGTTTCCATGGTAACAAATCCCAACGCTGTAGATTCACGTTCTTCAGTTGATATTGATCATGTACAGGCACAAAAAGGCGAAATCGTACATATCAAAACATATGGATCATGTACAGGCACAAGAAGACGAAATCGTACATATCAAAACATATGGATCGTGTACAGGCACAAGAAGGCGAAATCGTACATATCAAAACATATGGATCATGTACAGGCACAAGAAGACGAAATGGTAGGCCTACATATCAAAACATATGGATCGTGTACAGGCACAAGAAGGCGAAATCGTATATATCAAAACATATGGATCATGTACAGGCACAAGAAGACGAAATGGTAGGCCTACATATCAAAACATATGGATCGTGTACAGGCACAAGAAGGCGAAA